ACCACAAAACATTGAAACCCAAGGCTTTCCCCCGCTTCATTTAATAAGCTTGTTGGGGGTGCTGTATATGGGAAACTTCTTGCTCAGATGTTGGTAAAAGTGAGTTTTCAAACAGTAATATTCAAAACCAAAAGTGAGTTTTCAAACAATAATATTCAAAACCACTTCTCTTACTGTTTTCCCATTCTTCAGAGTGCTTGAAAGGAAAGATGGCTGCTTAGGTCAGACAGCCAACTTATGAGCGTCGAAAGGAAAGTGCAAAAGCAAAGGAACACAAGCCTCTACGTGACGAGGCAGAGACAGCTCCCCGTGCAAGACTCAGCCTTGGGCAATTCAGTTCGGGAGGGAGAAGGATCAATCCTCTCAGCCTGAGATGCTCCCTCAACTGGGAGATAGGGGCTGACCCCCACCATTGTATGGGTCCCAGGAGAAAAAGAGATATTTAAAACAAAAGAAGCATCTCATTTTTATTTCTGTCGGGCCCTTTTGGAATGAAAAATCTTTGAGGGGGAACATATTCCTTATTAGTAGTTGGACTAATTTGCATTTAATTGAGATAGTTACATACCAGAGTGATTAAAAGTAAATACCATTTGTTTTTAGGGTTATATTTAAACACTAGTGTTTACATAAAGGAAGAAAGGAAGTGGAGAGGACTCATTTGACCCCTGATTCTAAAGACACATGTCCAGGATGTTTTATATGGTAGTAATGGGCTAATTAATGGACTAATTAACGGGCCTATCTAGGACCAGAGTATTTTCAAAGGTATCTTCACTTCAAAACTTGATCTACATTTATTTGACAAGCAACAACGATAACAGATCCCATGCGAGCCGAAGGTGCTACGAAGTCTGTCTTCAGCTATTACTTCTTCAGACTGAATGACCTGATTGAGCAAAACTCAGCTTAAGATAACATATCCTAACGATTTGATTTTGCCCACAGATCATCAAAATCATTGACTTCTTTTTACAGTGGCCAGGAAAACGGAATTATCTGTAAGACAACTTATTCGTGGGCTGGTGCAGGTATGTTTGGTCTTCAGTATAATCTTCTGCAACAAGGAATGCTTACTTTAGTGAGTTAAGTGTGGTTGGGGGTCAGAAGGGAGAAATTGGTTGCTAATATCCTACATCCTGCCTCCAGCATTCAGTTTTGCTTCCTGTGTAGCCCTAGCGGCTGAGTCCCCTCTGGTTAAAGTGGTAAAACCTCTTAGATTCTAGCTCAGCTCCCAAAGACCATTCCGCGATGGCACGTAGAATTCAAGGGAAATGAACTCTTGTCTGCCCATGGGCGCTCAGTTAATTCTTTGACATGAACATGAACATCTGGATGAAGAGAAAAAAATCAACTAACTCCTAGTTAAATCTCATCTGTCACACAGGCAGAATACCTGGGTGGCTTGAGTGTCCACTTGCAATTGAGTCAAGCCAACCTTATAGGAAGTTAATTCACATCAAACCAGTGCCTCCCTCCTCTTTTAGTGAGGACCTGGCCGCTCCTTGTCTTAAAGTGCTTTGTTCATCTAGGATGTGAGTGTCGGTGGGTTCATCATGTTCCACAGCGGTTTGTCTCCAAGTGCGATCCAGGCACCCCAGTGCTTTATTTCTAGTTTAGATTCCTGGGCCCTGCTTGTTGAGCTCAGAATCCTTGGTAATCTAAGCCCCTGCATTTTTATCATCCTCTCCAAGTAATTCTTAAAATCACTAGGATTTGAGAACCATCTCACCCTGCATCACATCCTTGGGTTTTCTGAGGTCTGTGCCAAGGAGAAGAGCTGAGGGATACGAACGCTTATGCTGGAGATTTCTAATTGTCCCTCCACGCCCATCTACTTTTCTGTGGCGAGGGTAAACTTCAATATGTAAACAGCCTTAGTACAAGGCCCAGGTCTAGTTCAAATAACTTCACTGTCAATGATTAGATTGAGTACACGTTTGGGATCAGAAATGCTGGTTTCTGGAAACTTCTGGTTGGTGAAGGACAAGATATCAGCATGAATGTGCTACCATTTTCCCTAAGGAGAATGCCACCTAAAGATCCTCTGATGTTTTAGTGCTGTTGACCCTTTATTTATTCCATGATTCCCAGTTTACTGGTGACACTGGAAATAGATTTTGCCTTGGAGCTTTGAGTTTTAAGAAATAACCTTCCCTCCTTCCCCAGCTTTATTGGGATATAATTGACATATGACACAGTGTATGTTTAAGGTGTACAATGTGATGATTGGATATACATATATACTGTGAAATGATTACTACCATAAGTTGAACATATCCATCACTTCACACATTTTACCATGATTTTTCGTGGTGAGAACATTTAAGATCTCTCTTAGCAACATTCAAGTGTATAGTACAGCATTATTATTTATAGTCACCATGCTGTACATTAGATCTCCAGAACTTACTTATAACTGGAAGTTTGTACCCTGTAACCAACACCTCCCCATTTCCCCCACCCCTCAGCCCCTGACAACCACCATTCTGCTCTCTGTTTCTATGATTGGCTTCTTTAGATTCCATGTATGAGTGAGATCATACAATACTTGTCTTTTTGTGACTGGCTCATTTCACTTAGTAAATAACATTTTCTTTATTTATCCATCAATGTACACTTAGTTTGTTTCCATTATCTTGGCTATTGTGAATAATGCTGCAGTGAACATGGAGGTACGGAAATCTCTTTGAGATAGTGATTTCGTTTTATTCTGATATACACCCAGAGCGGGGATTGCTGGACCATATAGTAGTTCTATTTTTATTTTTTTGAGGAACCTTCACACTGTTTTCCATNAAAAACATAACTTATTTAATTTCTTGCACTTCATTGGAAAATGCCAAATAGCTCTGCTCTGTGGCTTTAGTGCTGAATGTTTATTGTAAAAGAGAGTCTAATGCCAAGAATAGTCTTGGGAAAGCTGGGTCCGTGGAAGATTTATTTGGAGCTGTAAAGCTGGAGGTCAGCCTTGCTCCTAAACTCAACCCAGAATGTTCAATAAAATAGTATACTTGAATGCAGTTTTGTAAAGGAGGATTCCTTGGGATATGTGAAACTTAAAGGAAGTGGTTCGATTTCAAATGGACTATAAACAGGGACATTATATTCTTATGCTAAAAACCCTTCTTGCATTTTAAAGAGAGACTGCACTTAAAAATAGAGTGAACTGCTCACATGCTTATTTTAAGCTTGGACAGTTTTCAGAGACAAACTCCATTAAGAATTATTCTTTTCACATGGCTGAATCGAAACATGTGTAATGTCGATGTAAAACCAATCACAGCTGTGAACTGCATGAAATGTATTGTGAAATGAACACAAGATTAAGCGTTGTCAGGTTAATGTAGCATGCTAAGGACGCTAGAAAAAAAATAAACTAAGGAGATGATCTTGGTTTATGTCATTTCTACTTGTGGACGGATGGTCTCTAAAATGAGAAAGTTGATGTAAAAGCTTCTTCCTAGTGCACGGATCCGGAATCAAGGTGTCAGGTAAATGAGACATACCTTGAGAAACATGAATGGCCAAGTTTTGGGGGCTGCATTCAGAAAGACATAGAATTTATTGTTCAAGAATAGAGTGAATTCAATTCCTCTATCCATTCATTTATTTCTTCAACAGATGCGTATTGAGTGCCTACTATGTGTAAGAGAATGCTCCTTGTACGTTATTGTCCAAGTTACCTGCCCATAAGTC